AGCTCTGTAAAATCCACTTTCTACCACAACACAATCAAATCAGAGGACAGTGGAGCAGGTTTTGCTTCCTGGGCACCCAGTGAGGCCAATAAAACCAGCAGAGTTTGTGAAGACATCACCTCTAGCCAGACAGGACCAAGAAAATGCCCTGTCTTCCATTGGTAGAGATGCCAGGTCAAGGCACCCCATGGGTTCCCCAAGCTGTGACCAAACACACCAGCGCTCTGCAGTAGCCACGTGAACATCTCTGTGAGGACAGGAGGCTGTGGCCTAGACAACAGCCATCATCCAATGCAGGTGCTGAGGAGCTGGCATCAGCCTGACACCTTTCYCTAAATTCCCTCCTCCAGCCTCAGTGCAGGCCAAGGACAAGAGGAGTGCACATACAGGCTGGGGCCTTCAATCCAAGCATGGAGACACACCTTCACCTGGTCCACACTGGGGGGAAGGGGATGAAGCTGCTTCCCATTCAGAGGACTTTTTGGCCTTTCACCCGCCCCAACAATCTACCCACAACACTCACCAGCTCTAAGGAACATCCAGYCAACTGTACTTTAAATGACAGCATTTCCCAGCATGAATATTCCTCAACATATCAAGTCTCCTTTTTTTTTTTTTCAAAAAATCAAATACATCCACAGAGAATTTTYATTCCCCCCACACTCCTCTTAAATTTTCTAGAATTTGAGATTCCCCCAGGCCAAATTTCACTGAGCCACATTAAACTAATAGCCCCATAAAAGGTCCATTGCAAGAGGTAATTGCATTGCAAGACTTTCCCATAAAGAGCATAAAAGGGCTGCCAAAGGCAGTTTCCTAAGGTCAATTAGCCCATGTTACCAGAGCTCGGGGGGAAGCCAGTCCTGGTGCTCCACTTTATGACATGTTTAATCAAAGCCCATGGGTTGCTGCTCAGATGGGCCAGCAGGGAAGGAGACGGGCGAATGGCAGCGCATCCCAACTGCCACTAGGCAGCCCCACCAGCCCTCATGAGGGACAGCACCAGCACATGAGCAGGGCTGCAAGGGCAGCGATGAGGACGTCGGGCAGGTTACGGTGTCACAAGAGACAGGACATCTGTGTTCTCCAATGCCAGGAGATAGTGCTACAACACACCAGACCACAACACCTCGCAGTGCTCGTGTGAGTTTTACCTCAGGATGTGGCRCCAAAGCTCTTGGACGCCCCTGTCTGTTGTCAGCAAAAAGGCCTCCTCAACCCATCTTGCCCCAGAGCAGAAGCAGCAAAACAGCCACAGCCTCTGGCTCCTTCTTCCCTCCAATACAGTTTTTACCCAGATGTTTCACATGCCTGGACAGCAGAAGAGCCCAGTCCCCATCCTGGCAGCAGCCTGTGCCACCGCTTTCCCCACAGACCTCGGGCTGGAGGCAGCCAAGGGCAAAGCAGACACAGGCAGGTGCCTACAGGGAACCAGAGCTGCCAGCACATGAAATAAAAGAGCATGAAGAAACTCAAGCTTCAGCTGCAAAACTTGGTCAAAGCCCAGCAGAAGTCTGCTAGCTGCCAGCAGAGGAAACGGGCAAGCGCTCCGAGGTGCTCGGCAGAAGCCTCACATAGTTTGCTGCCAGCTCACGCTAAAGCGGAGAGGGAAAAAATCATCTCTCCCTCAGCCCTGCAGTAAATTACAAGACACGTCCCTCGAGAGCACAAGGTGAAGCTCTCGATCAGACAAGCAATGCTGGCGTGTAATTCCCCTTGATATTCCCGATTTGGATGTTAGTGCTTGTGAACAACGCGTGACTGACGGTTCTGGAAGCCGCAGGCTCCTGCAGAGAGCCAGCAGAGCCCCAGCCGCACAGGCTCCCCACRCAGGCCTGGCCCAACCAGCACAGGGAAAGGCTGCCCTGTGTCCACACGTGCCTGGGGAACGGATCAGGCTCCATCGAGCTCCTCCATCCAGCCCTCRCAGTCTCCACCAGAGCCAGGCACTCAGGGTCAGCCAGTGCTTCGTGGGACAACCTCCCACCCTGTAYGAGATGGGGGAAACTCAGGTCCTTCACCCAAAACACCGCATCTCTGTGGATCTAAGTCACATTGTCAGCAGCAGGCACAGACTCTGCCAGTGTCTAATGTCTCTCTGCCCTGTAGGAGGAGGCCAAGTTGGGGCCAGGAAGGGGAATTGGTATCAAGTGCTTTAACACAAAAGATACCCACATCTTCCCTCCCTTGGCACCTCACCACCAGCAGGACCCACCACTGCCAGACCCACAAGGAACCATAGCCTCAGCACTCTAGGTACAGGAGCACCTCAATGCATCATATTAAGAGCAAAGAAAGAGTAGCTCCTGATTAGATGCAAATTGAAAATACACTAAATCCCCACTAATGTACTCAAGCAGAGATGTGTTGACTTAGGCAACAGAAGTCACTTAATTGCTCCCTTCTTCCAGTTGACACACAAAGCTCTGATTTTTCTGCAGCAATGCATGTAAATTAAAAGACTCATTTCAACAACACAAAAAAACAAGATCTGCTCCCAAAAAAACAAACAAGCAAAACCCAAACAGAATTAAGGAATTTTGAGAAAAACCTCTTTGGCAAGGAAAAACTACCATTAACAGTCAGCCGAATTAGCAACTGTTACAAGCATTATGATCTACTAAATATCTCACAGCTACGCAAAGAAAAATGCAAGTCCAGTAAAGAAGGCTAGTTTGAGATTGAGCTTGCCTTTCTCTTTTCCCTCTATAGCAGCTGAATTTGCAAGGGACTTCATAAATGGATAGACTTGTACACACTCAGATAAGATAAAACTTCAGTGATAGGTTTTGCTAACCTGCCCAGAGAGAATACATCCAAATGATTGCACAGAAATTGCAGGAGATGAAGCAGGATGAAGTGGTTCAGGTGGGGACTTGCAAATGGGAACACTTATTAGGGCCAGGCCCCCCGAGCTCACGGTGAGATCCAGCCACATGCCACTGCACACACTTCATGMAAGGGGCAGACAAAGTTTCAGCATGGCTTCGTAGAGCAGAAACGAGCAATTCTGAGGATGGTCCCCAAGTTGCAGGTTGCCACCCATCAGGAGAGACATGGTAATTGAACATGTGTTTGCTCCTCGCTTGCCCTGATTGCCAAGTGAGAGAGGCTCTTGGAAATGCTGCCACAGGCAGCTCCTGCTCTGGGGTGACAAAGGGAGTTTGAGCAAACACACTTTACTTGCCAGTGCRGCTGACTGGGAAAGCACATGGGGACAGTCTCCACAGCCCAGCTGCCATTGGGTGACTGCTGCCACAATCACTTGTGACTGCAAGAATATTCAAGCAGTCTYAAGAAAAACAATTTTTTTCATTGGAGTGGGGCACAATGCTTCAGAAAAGTCTGTTCTTTGGCTAAACAGCTGCTTTTCTCTGGAAATACCCCTTGTTGAAGGCAAAGCTCCAGGTTTGCCTTCAGAAGGATCAAGAGGGAAAGGTGTCAACAAGTTTCTCCATACAGACTGTGGGGAGAAATGGTCACCTAACATGACGAAGCTGCTTGCAAAATACCACTCCCTTACTATTTGTTTTTAATCATACTAGAGTCTACAGATACCAACAAGGCTTTGCTATCAGTGTTATATCACTGCACAAACATRCTCTGTTTCTACAGTGACACTTGGCAAAGTGAGATTGACAAAACTGGCAAATATATACTTAATCTTAAGTACATTAAAAGCCTATGTAGAAAAGCTAACTTCAAATTAAAATGGTTTTAAATTACTACCACTTCACTTTCTCCCTAGGAAGAGCCTTGGAAAATGGTTCTTACTGAAAACAGTTTGCAGATAAGTAGCCAAGACTGGCAGGGAGTGCACTGTTATACCCACTTCCCACCTGKGAGCTGAGCAAGATCACCCTTGGTGCTGAGTGCATGACCACAAAACTCCCTGCTCACTAGAAGTGAATTGAGGACAGCTGTGAAATGCCCCCAAGTCTAGAGCTTTTTACCATCCCTGGGAGGCAGACACCTCCCTATGACCTTGAAGGCACCTAGGCTGCAGCAAAAAAGGTCACAACTAAAAGGCTGCAGATGGACCTGATCAGCCACAGATGCACCTGATTAAGGGACTGCTTCAGAGTAAAACCCAAGTCCAAAGCTAATTTTGGGCACCTGTCCCTGCATCATCAAAGCCTCAGTGCTGACAACATACGATCCCAGCTAGGCTCCCTTCACAAGAGCACATGCATACCCAGACTTGCATTCATACAAGGTGGTCCTAGCTCAGAGCACCCACAGACCCTCAGTGAGACACTGGTGTTTGAAGCCCCAACCCAAGGGGCTGATAACAGCCAACCTGCAGAGAGGCAACAGCTGATGCTGCTTATCCCACACCTGAAACAAGTTGCAACAGAAACACATAGCACAGGGGCACAAGTGGATCAAAGGGGTGCCTGACCAGGGAGAGTGTGGCCACACATTTCAGACACCTAAGAGAGGGACCAGAAAGCCCAGCAAGCTCAGAGCCCAGAGAGCTGGAAAATTAAGTCCCAAATAAGATGGCAGGATCAAATCTGACAACCTCCAAGGCAAGGGCAGCCAGACTCACCCATGCAGGCAGCTTTAAAAGCACACAAGCAGGGAAGAGCATCAAAATCAACCARCCGCTTTTAGAAACAAGCTAAAAATATTCTCCCTTAAAAGAAAAGGCACAAGAGCTAAACCACCTACTGGGAAAATATTCCTCCACCACTGAAGTACCGAAATACAAGTGGACCTGATTTAGATTTGCCAGTTTGGGTATGGGCAGGTAGGATCTGGCAGCCCTCAGGAAACACAGAGCTACCTCTGCAGAGGTGGTGGCTGCCTGGCTTCTCTTACCAGCTTCCCTCCATCTCAATCCAGGGTAATTCCATCCTGGGAAAGGTGCTGGTGGTAGGGAATAAATCAGCACTCTCTTTGCTAGCAATTCTACAACTGGTGTGCAATAATTTCATCCAAGTACAAGAATACAAGAAAACAGACTGGTGGAGGCTTACACAGATACTGCAACCCACCTGCAAAACATGCCGCAGGACACACAGCCAAGCTGCTCCGCAGGGGCTTCTTGTCCCACGTTGCCAGGAGAGCTGCTCTTTTTCCTTTCACCACCTGGAGTCACCTTTCCTGCAGGTTCTTCCTTTCCCATCCAGCAGCAGCTCGCTCCTTGAGACTATTTAGCAGGTAGCACTATAGCTGTTTTTCCATCCTAACATCAGGGTACAGCTCCCTGCAGACTAGGRGAGATCCCAGGGCCAGCAGGGCACCCAGGCAAGGCAAACACACCACACTGGGCAGTCACGCTCAGCCAAGAGTCCAGATCAACAGGAGCCTCCACAGACCTGGGAGCAACAGAGCCCACTGGGCCACAGCAGCAAAATTGGAGAGCAACAACACCAGAAAGCTCCTGGGAAGATGGTGGTGGCCCAGGCTGGGCTTAAATAGGCTGGGAAGAATCCAGGTGAGGCCAATCAGGGACATAAAGGCCCAGGTGAGGCCAATCAGGGTCATCAAGGCTTGTTAGGCTGGCAGGGCCTCTGCACTCTTGTGAAATCTCTTGTAAAATGTCTTGTTAATGTGGTAGCAAGGATTCCCCTTTTCCTTCTCCAAATCCTGCCCTGGTACATTTGGAGCTCTTAACATTGCAAAGMCTGAGTTGTAACCTGCTTTTACACTGCTGTTTATTTAACGTGTTCCCAGATTTACACCTGCAGAGTGTGTTATCGGTTATACAGTATGTGCTACTACTGCTCTGAATTTATAAAGCYGAGTGTAAATTAAGGGCTGGATTCCTGTGCCAAGTATGCTAGCAGCTAACAGGCAATCACAGAAAGGTCACACTCTGCRCTTAAAACTCAATAGCTCACTTTAYAGTGCCTTGTTTGAGTCCTGCTCACACATCTGATGAATATAGGCCCACCAGACAGATCAGAGCTTAAGTTATATGGGAAGTTACTTAAAACATTGCCTATATGTCGCAAGAACCCTGATAGTAAACAGTATTATACACCCTGCTCCCTGAAAGATAATCCAGGAGATTTACTATGCAAGCTCCTACAGGTGCAATCCATTAAAATAAAGGAAGACTCCTTCTTACCTAAGTGCCATGGATCACCACTCTTTGTCTCCATCTTTCTCCAAGTCTTCCAGGAACAAGAAGTTAAAGACTGCCCGCTACTTCCAGGCTTACATCTTGCACAAACTGGAGCTCAATTAATGTGATTCTGCAACAAAACCTGGAGCAGCTCCTCAGAACCGCTGCTCCCAATGCAGGAGTGACTGAACAAATGATACTCTCATTAATGCTCTGCCTTCCCCACCGTGCGAGCTGAATCCTTGAAGGCTGAGAGCACCTCAGCATCAGCTGGGTTCCCAGGCATCTACAGTGATTTTTCAAGTTTCCTGACTTTTAGAGAGTGGATGGGGGCAGGGATTGGGTGCTTTAATTCATTCTACTATATGAACTCAGAAATGGTCTGACTCACTAGCACTGTAAATTAAGCTCATTGCACTCAGTCAATCCCTAGTTCTGCTAAAAGTTACTGCCAATAATTTAAAGAATGACTATATTTTCTTGCTCTTGTCTTTTTCTTTTTCCAATTCAACATGTCTTTTACTTTCTTTGGAAGTATGTAACAGATGCAATAAACCTGGGCAGAGTAGCCAGCATGTTTTAATCTGGCAGCCCGAAGGTGTGGATGAGCACACTGAGTGCTCCTGCACTTGCTTCCCAGGTCTGGCAGGACCAATTCCCTGTGCTCTGCTATTTTCTGTTTTGTTTTGTTTTGTTTTTTTTAATCTAAGACAACTAAGCGCTTTTCAGATAGAGGTGAATTCATCTTTGCAAGTCCTTAGTTAAATATTATCACACCCATTTTCAAAACTGGAAAACTCAGGCCAAGAATTATTTAGGGCAGGAGCATCGCACTAAAAATAGTCCAATTTGTGCAATGGAAGCTACTATTAAGTACATATACATAGGGAAGAAGCTGTTTTATTAATGCATTCATAAAAATGAAAGCAATTGAGGAACAGATGCCATTTGCTTGGCTTTGCTCCCTAGGCCGTGATCACTGTAACACCTCGTCTTCTAAATCCTGACATCAAACAGAAGGAAAGACGTACATAGACTTGAGTAATCTCTGGGTGAAGATAGGAAATATGCTTCACAGTTCAGAGTGTAATAAATATGTTGTTTCTCTATGGGGTGACAGTGTTTTGTGAGTCTAACAGCGCCTCTCCTATTCACATGCATTAATAAATGTGCCTTTGCCAATTTATTTTAGTCCAAATTTCTTTCCTTCCAGGATCAGGAAGCAGGGCAAAGTCCAACTCTTAAGAGAGAGAGTTGGACTCTCTCCCCCTCTGTTAACCCCTAACAGGGGGTCTCTGTTAACCCCTGACAGAGACCACCTATAGAAACCTCATCTCAAATTGATTTGAGATCCCCTCAAACTCAAGTGTCCAGGTCAGTTATTCTGATACCACTGCACCTGAATTACTGTAACCACAGGGACATGTCACACTCACAGAAGACACGATTCAGACAGCATGACAGTCCTAAAATGATACCTTTAGCATAATGCATTTGACAGTGAAAGTGCAATAATGGCATTTGGGGAACAAAAGAAAAATACAATAAATCTGATGACTAAGTGTTCCAGTCCCTGATGTAAAAGCAAAGTAGCTCCCTGTCGTATTTAACTTGATTCCTCTGAATTAAACACTTCCATTAAAAGTTTCCCACAGTAGCTTTAATATTTAATTATGTATTCCACCAAAGGAAAGATCAAAATCTTTGCAAAGGGTTTTTGTGCATGTGAAATATTTATCAGCATATCTCTTTGGACAAGCATTTTTATCCCCTAGGCTGGGAAAGGGCTTCCATGTACAAACCAGTTTCAAAACATTTTATTTTACAGCTAGAAAGTTTTCTATACTTCAACATCTCATGCAGTGACTTTGTTATTTCACTTGTTAATGAATGATAATTAAATCTCTTTGGGCTGGAAAGGTTGGAGGGCTCCTGCTGTATTACAAAAACAATTTCTGAAAGTCACAAAAATGCCCAAGTGCCTAGAAAATAAAGAATAAAGTGTGCCATGTTCTGAGTCCAGGTTTCAATCAGGAGGAAGGATTTATAGGGGAGGACAGTATGTGCCAGATAGAGTGTATAGTCTCCCTGGCTGAACAGACATCACTATGTCACTTCACGTCTATCAGAGTAAACAGGATCACACTCTTAATAACATACATTGTGGCCACAAACTCCCTTGATCTTATTAACAATTGTGGCAAACACCGGGTAAACCAAATTATACGCTACCTGCACAAAGGGCTGTTACCTGTGCACATCTAAGTAAAGAGTTGTCAATTTTGGATTTGCTCAGTAGGCTCGGGAACACCTGGTTATTAATTCTTCTTGTCTTATCAATCTTTTCAGTTGGTTTCAGTCAGAGGATAAATGGAGTGAGTGTTTGCAACAGAGGCAGATAAAGGGAATATGACTCTACATATTAAGGCACTTTGTGGTGTTACAGTGCTACATAGAGAGAGACTTGAACAAGAAACACCGGTGCAGGCTTCTGCTCACATCGTAAAGGTAGAATCTGGTCCACAATTAGTATAACAAAATTACATTAATTCTACTATCAATGCCTTTTTCTGAAGGCAACACAGTGATTTCAGAGGGAAAGATGATTCGGGGTTACTTTTTAAATTATTATTTCTCAAACATTGCAATACAAATGGAGTTTACCAAGGAACTGGGGGAGCGACTGCCATGAGGTGAGTCTGCTCCTAAGCTGTGACGTTGGGAAGGGGTCTGCTGAGAGCGAAGCCCCCTCCAGTGAAGCGAGGAACATCAGGCCTGTGCCGTGGAAACTCAGGCTCCATGTCCGTCAAGGATCGTTCCTTCTCCCTTGACAAAGAAACAAAGAAAAGGGGAAAAAATTTTTTCATTCCAACTGTTTAGAAACTAAGCAAATCTGTGTCCTCCCAAGTTTCTTTGATGAAACCCTGTATCTAGAGATCATTAAAAATTTGTTGATTAAAGCCTGTTAGGCTAAACCACCAAGACTAGGTGTCTGTTTGGATCTAATTACAAGACTGCTGATGTTTTGGGGAATTATTAAAAATCAGAAACAAATGAGCTCTCTTAATGCTAGCCCCAAAATGGTCAGAGCACCTCATTAGAAGAAGTCTGTGCAAGAGCTCCCTGACTTCAGATTTCTAATCATCATCCCATTCTGGYGAGGATGCGTTTGTTTTCAAACAAACAGCCACATTCATCAAAGGCGCAATGGGGAGATACTTTCCCTTTGTTGAATTTTAATGAATAAATACTGCTATTCTGTCTTCCCATTTTAACAAAGTTCTAGTGATAATTATCCTGCCTGCTACATTTGCAGAAAACTAACATGGGGCCGCGTGTGCAGTGATGGTCCCAGGAACCTGCTCTGCCTGAGGACCCGGGAGGCCTTGAATTTGGCATCCTTAGGAGAACAAAACAAGGGGTCGTGGGTTCCTCTCTAATGAGCTTGCTGAGGTAAGTGCAGCAGAACAAATATAAAGGACAGTGTTTCAAACTCGCTGTGATATACCTGGAGGTTTYCGAGCTAGGTTTTGAGATATTTATAATTAACCAAGTGGGGCTTGTGAAGTACTAGTTTATCATAACAGGAGTGGTCTCGAGGCTTTACAAAGGAGGTCAGTACCGTTTTATTTCACAGGCATTGAGACTGAGATACAAACATGAGTGTTGCAAAATTTAGGCTTCTGCAAAATCTAGTTTTGATTGATTACTGTCCCCAGTCCCCCCAAGGGGAAAAGACCTGCTAGAATTAGTATTTTTCAGACTGCCCCTCAGTAATAACAGCTAGGGAGAGAGAAGGAAGCTCAGAGAAGCCCTGTATGATGACTCGATATGCAAGATAACTCAGATGAACTGAAACATAAAGATGATTTGTAAATGCTTTAAATGACACCAATGTAGCACTAACGGAAGTGCTAGCTGACAGGACTAAGAACTAACATGTTACATTCAGACAGCTCAAACCATCCCACTGCTGGACTTGCAACTCTGGAGAGAGAAGAGGTTCCAGAGTCCTTGCTCATTCTGGCACCAGGCTCCCATGCAGACAGTCCCAGAGACACTCAAGAGGTTTGGAAAATTTTGTACAACTGAACTGATAGATTACACAGAATTAATGTGCAAGCAGCCAGGTGCCAAACCTCCTACTGACATTACTCAGTATGGTTATTTACGTGAGTTGGGCTGAAGCACTGAGTCTCTGGTGCAGATTTAAGCCAGTTTCCTATTTTCTTACCAGTCCTTACCAGGATCAAATTGACATGCAGGTGTTGGAGGCAACTAGGTAAAATAATGAAGCTGAAAGGAAGCA